AAAACACTTTATTAAGGCTGGGAGGAATGGCCGTCCTTGGGCCTGGCTGGGAGGTTGACTAGAGAGTTTGACATCACCACCTGAATGGTGTTTTCCACTTGGCTCTGAAAATGCACAAGCCAAATATGGGTATTGTGACTGTGTGTGGAGGAGACTTTTACCTTAAAAACTTTCAAATTCCTTGGGGAAGGGGAAGGCCTGGGTCTTAGTTTGCATCCTGTACAGCTTCTAGGGCCAGATTTTTACAAGGATTTAGGTGCCTAAAGATGCAGAAGCGCCTAATGGGATTTTCAAATGAGCCTAGGTGTCTTTGGTGCCTAAATACATGTAACAAGCTGAGCCCTAGCGCCTTGCAAAGGCAGGTGATTGGTTATTTTAAAAATTGAAATAAATGTAGAAAGTCAGTGAACTTGATAGGGCTGAAGTGCCTGGTCTTTTTGAGCATAAAAGAGGTTCTTAAAAGTGCTGGACCAGCCCTGGAGCAAGTGGAAGATCAGCTATTTCTTGTGATATTTCTAGCACTTTAGACCCCTAAGAAACGGTGAAATCCCATGCTGAAAGCTGGTGATTAGTTACCTTTTCCAGAGCTAGTCTTGCCTAATTGCAGTACCTGGAATTGGCATTAGGGGACAGTGTAACGATTCTCATTAGGGGCTGGCTGTGCTTTGTTGGGACACTTGATACAGTTCTTGAAGCAGTGAAAGCCCAGTTCCCACCCTGTGAGTGGCCATGGCTGTGATATGTACAGTATAACCTCAGTGCAACAGGCATGTAATCGTGCCCTGTGGGTTTGCCGGATTCGGATTACAGCTGTGTGAATAAGGGATTTTTCAGTTTGCCAGCCATTCCGAAAAATCGGGGGAAAATTGGGTCGGTCCCAAACCAATTTTTAAAAAAAATTATCAATGAATTGAATATATACACACAGACACGCACGCGCGCGCACACACACACACACAGATCATTTTGGGCCAAACCAAACATTTTGTTCAACCTGAAACAAAACTTTTTGTCTTTGCTCAGTTTCATCTGCTATTAACAAGTGGAGATGAATAAGCCACTTCTCCAAGTGGTGGTACAAGCTCTGAGCCTGATTCTTCCCTCTGACACCCCAGTTTCATCCAGGCATAACTGTCTTCATTCCAGTGGAGTTACATGGAGTAACACCTGGTGACGTATGCCACAGTGACCAAGAGATGTTCTGCCGGCAGTGCCTTCATTACCGCTGTGCAAATAACCACGTTTTTGGTTCGCTGACCAAACTGAAAAACTGGAGGGGAAATTTTGTTTAATTTTGAGTTTTATTCAAAGGTCTTCCACGTGGTACATCAACTCATCTAGATATTTGCCTAGTTTACAACAGGCTACAGAAAAAGCACTAATGAAGTTAGTACAAACTCAAATTTCAAACAGACAATGACTTGTTTCTACTGTGCTCTATATACTATACACTGAAATGTAAATACAATGTTTATATTCCCGTCGATTTATTTCATAATGATGTGGTAAAAATGAGAACGTCAGTAATAGTGTGCTGGGTCACTTTTGTATTTTTATGTCTGATTCTGTAAGCAAATAGTTTTTAAGTGAGGTGAAACTTGGGGTAGGCAAAACAAATGAGGCTTCTGAAAGGGTACTGTAGTCTGGAAAGGTTGAGAGGCACTGGGCTAGATGGACCAGTGGTCTCACACAGTATAGCCATTCTTCTTACTAGGTTCTTATGAATTTGTTTGTTTTTTTCTATACAAATTCGCTAAATATTTTGGTCAACCCAAATTGGAATTTTTCAGTGAACAATGTATGTCTAACAATTTGTGGTACAATTGGCTTTACAAATCTCGCCCCTCGAGGCTGCGCCCCCTTCTGAGATGGGTCTAGTAAACCCAGGGGAGGAGTCTAACCCTGTGCCCAGTGAAGTCGTTGGCCAAACTCCTCCAGGAGCCAGGCTTGGCCCTGCCCCAGGACAGTGCTTTCCCGG